AAACTAACGAACTAAACTCAAATTTAAGACCTGAATAAATTTATACGAAAAAAACCAGGTGAGATTAGGAGAAAAGTGAAAAAAGGCGTAGAAAGTGATGAAAAAATGTTGCAAGGAATAATTTATTAGACTATGTTTGATAAATAAATGGCTATATGGGATAATTTTTATTACTCTAATAAACTTTGAACCCAAGAATAGCACCAAAAAAAAACAAATTTTTTTGAGGGGTATTGAAAGTGCGGAACAAAACGGACGATGGTGGTGCTTTTTTTTCAGTTAACCGCCGTCAACCGATAAAACGGCATTAGAGGTAATCGACGGCAACGCATTGTCACCAGTGTCGACGTCTGTTTTTCTTCTTTCTGCTTCGCCATTTCCTTGTTTTGTCTTCGTCTAACTTCTCTTAGCAACCGTGACGGTGCCAGAAATTTGCCGTCTTGCTATCAGTGTAAAAGATGGAATGAAACAAGAATCCTGAAGTTTCAAACCTCTTTTTTTCTCATCTGTTGTTCAACTGACTAGACAAAAATAGTTTTTTTGTTCTACTTTTTTTTTTTTTAATCAAGGTTTTCTTTTCTTTTTACGAACACTAAAAGAAAAAGCGGGCAAAGACATAGAAAAAAAAAGTGTTTCACTTTGTAAAATAAATTTTAAAAAAAATGCAACATTTACTGTTTTATTATTGCCTTACATACACGCAAGTATGTAATGAGTAGATAACACAAAGGAATAAAGAAACAAGAACTAAGAGAACCCCTCGTCAGCTACTTTAAATAGTTGGCATTGTGAAGTGCAAAAGTGCTACTGAGAATAAAATGTGATGATATATCAATGCAAGTAAAGAGAAAAAATCAGGAGGTAACTGTTTCCATACAATTTTTTTCCCATTTATCACTTTCCTTACATTTTTTCCACCCTACACCAAGTTTTTTAGCTTCCCGTCTAATACCCCTTCTATCCGAGCTTTTCCTTTTAATACCCCGTTTCATTTTCCTCTTTTATACTAGTGGAAGACATCAAATTTGAGGTGTCGCTGTTGGTGGTGCCATTGTTGTTGTCGTCGCTTACTGTTTCTGATGCACACAGTTCAAAGTCACTAAAAGTGACGTAGGCAAAGAAGTAATACTGATGAATCCTCGCCACCATTGCCTACCTGTAAAACTAAGCAGTTCTTGCAGCCCCTAATACCGCTTAGTATTGCTCGGTCAATTCTGTCGATCCATTCAATCGGTCGTGGAACATTAACTGAGAAGTGCTTAAAGATTTCAGTATAAAATAAGAACTGTATTTACGATTCTTCCTCTTCATCCGCATCTCGTTCTTACACCACTTTTCTAATTCGCCATCACTTTCTCCAGCAAGTAGCTTTTTCTTTCATTACTCTCTCCTCATCCCGCCCCACAATAGCTCGCGTGTAAATATGTATTCATAATAATTTATCTGTCTTCTATTTCCTACAAAAGAATAAGAAAAAAAAGGTTGGAAATACGAACTAGAGAACGCATGAAAAGCAACATAAAAAGCAAATAAGATGGAGTAGGATAGACCGAAAAAAACCTTTTTCCTTTATTTCTGAAGGTTTAAAAAAACTTTATAATTGCAAAAATTTTTTTACTCTTTTCAACTTTTTTCCCTTTATAATATTTCGTATTTGTGTTCAATTTTTAGGTTCTTTTCAATATTTCCTGACGTAAAATTTATCAAAATAAATCTAGATAGAAAATAAAAAAGTAAGTGAAAAACTGAAAACGATGACTGAAAACTAATATGCAAACAACTCCCACAGCAGCATAAAATCGCATTAAAAGCCACTCAAAACCGAAAAGAGTGAAAAAAAATAAATTTTTTTCTTGTTTTTTCAAATTTATTAATATTATAACAGTTTTTTCTGATTTCAATCTTCAATTCTTTTATACATCTACAGATGGCGTTCTGTTAATCAAATCCAAAAGACAGCTGCTCAATAAAGTCTTATTCGTTTACATCAATTTTTTCTCCCCATTGCTGAGAGGTTTGAACGGAAAAAAAGAAAAAAAAAAAAAAACAAGACGTATAATTAGTTGGTTTTAAAAAAACATAATTTGGAAAAATGTTGTCCAGCGGCCACTGAATAGAAACATTTTTTGCTTCTCACACTAAAAATAAACAGCGTAACAGGGCGAGTGCAATGACGAAAAAAAAAAAAAAAAGTAAAAAAAGGAGTAATGAAAAATCATAAAACAGTTCATGACTTTTTCGCGTTTCAAAAATCTCTAATTTTTCCGCCTTTGCCTTTTTTTCCGTGCTAATTTTGATCTATTTTTGAAATTTTTTCTGGTAAAAGGGAGGAGCAAAAAGCAAAAAGTTGGGAAGAAAACGTGAATTATACAAGAATTGAGAAGAAATACCAATTGAAAAAAATTGATTCTTCCAGCTGATGACATAACAGTAAATTTCAGTAAAAACGACAGCAGTGAGTGATAAACGAAACGACGGCGACGGCGACAGCGACAACGACAGCGACGGATGCCGCAACGAAAACGGCAACGGTGATGACGATGACGACAGTTACCACTGTTCAAAGCCAGTTTGGCATTCCAAACTGGATGGACAGCATGAAAAATATTGCGCTGCTATAATCAGCATGCGTCTCGAAGCGAGTGTTACTTTTACTTTGATATGTACTTATCTTTTTCATCAGCTACCTTTTTTCAGTCTTCCTTGGCTGCTCATCCTGTCATTTTTTTTCGCTGCTTACATTTCTCTTTTCTTTCCTGTTTTTTCTCACACAAAATAAAATTCATTAGCGAACTTTCGTTAATAACATGAATCAAATTATCCAGGTGACTTTTTAGATCAGAATAAAAAATTGAAAACTTTTCAACGTTTGAATCAGTATAGCAAAGGACAAATAAAACAAACATAAAAATCTTGAATTCACTTTAATATTTTACAATTAAACAGCTATCCAAGAACTGAAAAAACGTAAAATTCTACTGTTTGAAAATATGTAGATAAACGTAAAAAAAAATACTCTTTTCAACAGCTATGCGATTTTCAAATATTATTTGGTCAAACCAAGTTTGCACTCTTTTTCTTTTTTCTTTTTCAATTTTTTATTTTTCAACTAAACTCCAAATCTAATAGTTCTCTTTGCGTATATATGTTTCTTCACCTCTATAACTGCTTTTTTTTTCGTTTCGTTTATTTTTTTTAAAAAAAGGAAAAGAAAGTGTTGGAGGAGCGGAGAAAAAACCAAAATGTGCGGTTGATAAAAAAAGCTGTTTTTTTTTTTGTCCGCACAAAAAATTGTTGCTGTATGAAATTGAGAAAAAAAAAATCAAGGAAACAAGGAAGTTTATTTTGCATTTTGACAATAGAATCCTTGAAAAAGTTTGGCTAAAATAATGGTGAATATTTAAAATGTGTGGTGGAAGCTGTTTGTTTTTTCTCTTTTATTTCTGTCACTTATCAGCAGCAAAAAAAAAAAAATTTTGGCAGTGAAAACTAAACGGCATAATAATTAGAACAAACTGGAAACCAGCAGTAGCAGCAGCAGCAGTAGCAGTAACAGCATCCCGAGAAGGAACTGTTAAAAGGGTAAAAAAAAAAACAAAAGTGCATTTCCACATGATCTGTTTGTTTGCTTTATTTTCTTTTGT